CAAATTACATCAAGTTAAAATCCCCAGACATCATCGAAGCATCCTCACACACACAAGGAGCCTACATGTGCATCTGAGGCTGAACACTTCACTTCAATCAATCATTGGGAATATTCCTTGTGTACCTGCCAACTTTTTAAGTCTCACTATACTATTTGGTTGTCTAGCCTAAATATAAGGTAATCAGAGTAGGATTCGAACTCAGGGTGGTATGCTCAAAAATAACAGTGATAAAAAAGTCATCCTTTAAAAGTAGAGTACATTTATCTATTTATTTGTTTATTTTGTTCAACCTCGTTTATCGATTATTTATATACTTCAAGTGTTATGTACTCATAATGTGATAACGTTATATTGATTATAATTGCACTGGAGTTTCAAATATATGCAAAAATATTGTTGTACCGGAGTGTGTTTAGTGTTTTTGTTGCTTGTTGTTGTTGTTGTCTGTGCTTGACTAGAATGAGCCTCTAGTCACGACACTCTGTAGCCAACAGATCACTCTACAATATTCCTCACACACGCACACTAAGTAGACATACAAGAGTCAGATTTAACTGAGACGACAACTTTTATTATGCACAATCCAGATGGAATTATCCTCTAGACATCAGCGGAACTTTAAACCATTCGATAAATAATCAATACTTAATTGATTGTATTAGTCAATGATTGTTAGTCCGTCCTAGTTATCACCTCCCCCTTTTTAGTAAATTTTCAATTAGGGGGCCACTGGGAGGCGGTTTTAAGCCTGAGTAGTCTGTGTCTTTGATACCCAACCTCCTCGAAATATAAAGACCGATTTAGCGAAGAAAATTTTCTTTATCCACGAAATCATCTTCACAGGCTGGCTGTACAGTCGTATTTATACTTACCAAAAATATATAGTGGTCTATTATTGAGTAGGAGGGGGTGAAATAATTGATATAATTACTCAGAAGTGGCTTTAGAAGTGAAAATTAAAAGTTATAAATTAGACTTGAACAAAGTAAGAACAACATTTGTACGAGGATGATATGAGCTCACCTTTTACTATTTCGAGGATTCTTCTCAACTGGTTACATCCTGAACGATAAAAAATATGAATTACATTACATTAAAGATTTGAACATAATTTTCCACGATCACAAGGAGTAATTGGTAGGAAGCAAGAGTAACATTAGTCCGGAATGATTTAACTAATTGAGAGTTACAAACACTGACTATTTATAGAATAATTCAAATGAACTGTGATCAATATTTGACAGTTTATAAATATTTATAGAATAATTAGGCAATTAGGCTTGGAAACAAAAACAAGCTGTTGTATATTTTTTTCGTTGTCACCAGGGCAGTGCAAGATTCACCACTGTCTCTTTCTGCGTACATAGATTTGGTTTAAATCAATTGCTTCAGCAAAGCGTAGCAAGTTAGGTTTCTTTTGCTTGTTGATTATTTTGAATGACTTGTATATTTTCACACCCTCTTCACACTTGTTAAATTGACACTCAACTACCTATATTCTCACCCAGTCACAATTCTAACCTTATCAAATTTCTATCTTTGTTCCATTGAGTACCACGTAATTTATAACTTTTAATTTTCACTTCTAAAGCCATTTCTGAGTAATTATATCAATTATGTCACCCCCTACCCTATTACTCAATAACAGACCACTATACATTTTTGGTAAATATAAATACGACTGTACAGCCAGCCTGTGAAGATGATTTCGTCGATAAAGAAAATTTTCTTCACTGAATCTGTCTTTTATTTTCTTCATAACTCCTCGAAATAGTGTGGGATTCTTGCTTGGTGCACGGCTAACTTTATCATCAGAAACAAGGATATCATTATATATTGTTCCTCGGTCAAAATTAAACATTTGTTACAGATATTGAGCGCTGATGCTTGTTTCTCAAAATTTTACGAAGAAAACGGATCGTTTCATGAAAATCTGTATCACGTGAAAGTATATCCCAAAACGATATCCCAATCATATAACGATTGGCGACCGAACGTAAATCTTCAGAATTCTTTGAAATGAACAAGACATTGTGGGAGATTTCACGAACTAAGTTCAAAATATTTTCATAAAAACATTTTTTTCTAAAACATGGCACATATTAGGAACTGGTGATAATTCTCATGTCACATGTTCTCAATTCTCACATGAGAAAAATTGATAATTAGATATTTGAATAAAAATCAATATAAGATAAAGTACATTCGGAAATAATAATATGAGTGTTATCAATCAAGTACAATCAGATGAGCAATAAGACGAGTGTTTTTATAGTCAAAATAAATAAGTAACTTGTTATAATGTACGTGAATTGAATTGAAATAGATTTTTAAGATTATTTATTATCCTCCTCTGATTTCACTGACTGACTGGTGGTAATAATATCTTCCATACATATCTCTGGTATTTGCATTGAGTCATTTCTGTTGCATGTGTTGTGTTGGGTGTAGACTCACTTGATGAACCAGGATTCAGTAATCAACCTCTCTCTTCACCCACCTACCTATATTACTTCTTAGAATTTTAACCCTCTCCTTCCCACCTTGTTGTGTGTTGTTAGTGCATGCAGTGCAATGTAGCGCTGAGCTTTATTCTTAATTACTTATCTTCGCGGGCGGCGTCAACCATTCTTACCTTAGCTAAATTCTAATGTTCCAACAATCTGAATACCCCGCCCGATCTACTAGTTTCACCTATGTAGTTAGTGCACCAAACTCACCACAGTCATTGCAAGGTATTTTGTTGAATTGGGTCAACCGTGTCTTTTAGCCTACAGAGCTTGTCTCTGAGTGTCTTTGTAGGCGTTGAATGCCACCCTAATTCCTGCTTTATTAAGAATTCTACGTGGGGAGGGTCTCAGATTTCCCCTCCTTATATGGTATAACTGTAGATGACTTATATTCTCTCTTATTATATCATTATACATTGATTCTTGGTCAGAACTAAACATTTGTTACAGATATTGAGCACTGATGCTGTAACAACAGAAGACAAGGGCCAGGCAACAGATCGTTTATTAAGGAAAATCAACACATATTTGTAGATTTTAATGTACATTATTATAGATTATTGTTAGTAGAAAATACAGTCTTTTGACTGGTTGTTTCTGATAGAAAGTTAACCTTGCATCTCTTTATGGCTGTGTCAGATCATCCATATGTTAACTGTACCCGCCTACGCAAAGCCTTTGTTCTCATTTTCTCACCACCAATATTGGGGACATAAACATTGACGTCAGTTACTGTCTACCAACTTTTGCTAGCAGCTAGCTGTCACTACAATGCTTGTTCCTAAAAATTTTACAAAGAATTAGGATCGTTTTATCAAAATCGGTGTCTGGGAAAAGTATATCCCCAAAAGATATCCCAATCATAACAATTGGCTACCGAACATTAATCTTCAGAATTCTTTGAAGTGAATTGGACATCGCAAGAGATTTTACCAACTAAGTTCAAAATATCTCCATAAAAACATGGCACACAGTAGGAACTGGTGACAGTTTTTATCCTCTGAAAATAGGAGAAACTGGAGTAAAAGTGTGTCTCTAATTGAACTGATCACATTTTTTGGTTCTCAACAAACAGTGTCTTCATTAGATTCTGATGTATTGTGGTGAGATCTGTCTGCAAGCCAAAATTGGTAGACAGCCTTTTTCGTCAATGCCCTTTACCTCCCGAATCGGTGTCATCGGAAAAAAAACAATAACGAAGCTTAACCTTGAGGAACTCAAAAACCAATCACAGCAAACTTAACGTGTGCAAATATGATTCGCAGATATATGGCTTAACTTTCTGAGAAACGGTCACAATCTGTACAGTAGGTGGACTAGATGACTGGAAAAAAAATTTATCAGTAATCACTTCAATCAGTTTCACTTGGAAGTCTTTATACCACTTCTGTGGTTGTTCTTGTTGTTGTTGTTGCAACAGTAACTGGACATGCTCAAAACTGAAGGATATGATTAAAACACCCCACGAAATATGTTATGACGACACTTACGTGGCTGCCAGTGACTTGAATACACCCATCACTGAATATGTTGTGACGACAATGAACTAACTTGAACTATTACAGAGGAAATCATCCTGTACATATCAACGGAAATTTAAACCATACATAAATGATCGATATTTGGTTGATTGATTGCATCAATCTTGATTTTACGGCTAATAACGATAATTATTCCCTGAGTGATTAAGCAAAGCCCTGTTTCCATTTATCGATTGGACAATAAGCGTAAAGATCGTTAGAGATTTTCGTCACAAGTCAACATCTGTTAGAGAGAGAGATCATCGAAAACCAGAGGGGTGGGGTGTTGGACAGTTGTTTCGTCCTATTTTGGGATTCTTCAGAAGACACAAAACCAGAACCCCAGAAGAGGTGTCGAAGCTCCGAGATCCTCAGGTTACGAGACCCCAAGCTCGTTAATGACAATTCAGCCACTTGACCCGGCTGGAATTCAATGATACCCTGAATTCTAACTTCGCCATTTTGGTGATTTTTGTGCTACTGTCATGCGCCTTCTATGAGCACCCAATTCACACCTTGCTTCACATGATGCACCTCACTGCTGTTCACGACTTCCTACTGCACTGCAGGATCTTTGGGGAAATCGGAAATCGGACTGGCCAATGAATCGGGTTTCAGTGAGTGGCTGAATAGTATACGAGGTAGCTTGCGTTGTAACCGGAAGGTCCTTGGTTCGAACCCCACTGTGGTGGGTGCGTACTGCCGATAATTCCCAAACTAGGATGAAACAACTGGCTGTCCAGTACTCCCCCCCAGCTGGCTTTCAATGCTTCTCTCACTGATATCAATCCGTGGTCAAACTCGTAAAAACAAAACAATATCGTTTTGTCCTTTTCATTCATTGGAAAATACAAAAAACAACCTTTTTTATTAATGGATTGATCATCTAATTCAATATTATACTGCAACATCATCCTTTCAGACACAATAACACTTTTTCTTTCTTTCCTTACTTCTTATTACTAAGGTTGTCCGAATGTCATCGAATTTGATCACCCTGATCGATTTAGCTGGACATTCGCGATATCAACGCACCACCCTATCCGGCATTGCTTGTAATCAACCTGTCATGAGTATTCTAGTGATATCAGCAACAATCGGTTTGACGACAATCGGTTTAGAGCATATTCAATTGATACGTTCACTGAATTTACCAATGATTGTTGTCCTAACAAAAATTGATCAATTATCCAGTGGTGGGGAACAGTTGAAACGGATCAATTCAATATATCGTCAATTGGTGTATCAATTTAAACAAATTGAATATGCATGGTCATATAATAATGGAATACCTATATGGAATGAAAAATATTCAATGTTCACTAATAACTGGGAATTAAATTCAAACAAGTAATTAACGTCAGCTTGATTGATTGATTAATTGATTTATTTGCTGTTCTTTTTATTGGTTTATTTATTTATTTTATTGTCAAGAGCATCATGTGTTGGATGTCACCACCCAAGTGTTCATTTGACACCACTATTCACATCATCCCACAGTGTCATCACCCTCCTCTACCGCGCTTTATCTGACGTCGAACAAACCGTATGAGAGCTGCTTGGATGACATTCATGGTATGTCTGTCTGAGCCCCACCAATGTCAGTGTTCCTTATTGAAAGGCGGTCTCCAATATATCAAAACACTCTCTTAGACTTTAGAATGGAAGCGATTCTACAGAGACAGAGGTGGTCGGACTTCCAGACGTTTGACGTCCAGACTAATGTTGTGACGGCGTGTAAGAGGTATCCCAGTTTGGCGATGCTTCCCTGGTTTTCACTATGCGACTGTTACAGATCTCATCCGTCATACTGCTAGCACTCGAACAGAGCTACATCGCCTACTTCTGATTGCTCACCTTCATAAATACGGCCTTCTGGCAATCTTCAAACAGTACTTTGTACCTGAAACGAAGTTAAACAGCCAGATCTAAGGGATCTAAACACTGAACAACTGTTTTGATAGCTTCAGACCGGACTCATCAGCAGTTGGGTGCAGCTCAGAGAACCGCATTGTTTGAAACCACTCGAATTCGAACTGAAATTGTTATCCGCTTGACTGCGATTATTAAATGATGATATTAGATGGTCGGAGGTTATCGGCAGGAAGCCTTGGACCTAGGTTTCGTGCTAGTTGGCACTCTTCAGCAAGGCGTATCTGCAACCTTGAAGGAACTCATGTCCTTTCTGAGATTCGAGCCCGCGTCACCCAGTGCTGCAGTCAGACACATTACCACTGAGCTATTCGGGCTCGCGATTGACCTCCTGTAGGACTGTAGTGGATATTTTTGATTTGATACTAGTAACTAGCTGAGTGGTAACGTCTCTGACTGCAGCACTGGGTGACGCGGGCTCGAATCTCAGAAGGAACATGAGTTCCTTCAAGGTTGCAGATACGCCTTGCTGAAGAGTGCTAACTAGCACGAAACCTAGGTCCAAGGCTTCCTGCCGATCGCCTCCAACCATCTAATATCATCATAAACAATGTACACCGTGATGGCGAGCTACCTAGAATGGTGGCCACATTACAACCTGACTGATAGAATTCAGTCTGCACCAAAGAGAGGACTAGACGCATCACACTAGTTACTAGTGTCAAATCAAAAAATGCGATTATTAAACACAGGCTGATAGTAATTGAGACAAGCCTGGTTAGAATTCTGTTGCTATGGCTATGAAATACACTCATTTTTTTCTGATTGCTGCTGGTGTGTACTACCTAGACTGAAATTCGTGGAAAGGGATTCGAACCTGAAGCCCCCCGTCGACTGAAAGTTGGACATCTGAATGTCGATTAGTCACACTTCGAATTTTACTTTAATGCTTAGAATTTTCAAAAGTTTTACTGATAAGCGATGAAATGTTTAAGACGTATACATATAATTGGAATACAATAGTTGAAGGTGAACTGGCTATATACACGAAACTAGATCGATACTGACGTAGTGTAACAACAGAAGAAAAACGCCAGGCAACAGATCGTTTATTAAGGAAATCAACACATTTATATATTTCCATGTACATTATAATAGATTATTGTTAGCAGACAAACACAGTCTTCTGATTGGTTGTTTCCCACAGAAAGTTAACCTTACATCTCTTTGTGGCTGTGTCAGATCATCCATATGCTAACTGTATCCGCCCACGCAAAGCCTTTGTTCTCATTTTCTCACCACCAATATTGGGGACGCACACATTGACGTCAAATAGTGTCTACCAACTTTGGCTAGCAGCCAGCTGTCACCACAGTAGCTTTAAACAATAGCGACCCAAACCGAAACTGCCTGAAAAAACGGACGTAATGACTTTGAGCAACTAATCAGGTGACTCCGTTAGTATATAGGCGGAATTATGGTTGCCTCTACAGGAATCACGTGGCACGATTTCATCTAGATCTAGTCTAGGAGTACTGTTTACAGAGCAGGCTCTTAGGAAATGAAAAGACATGTAGATATGAAGAAGTATAATGCATTTGTAGGGATATACTACAGCTTTTATTGGTCGGTTTGTGTCCAGATGCCCAGACTGTCGTAGCGGAAAATTTATTCGAGAAGGTATGTTGTTCCTTTTTTGGTTTATGCAAGCTGTAGGTACTTTCTTCGCTAAGTCGATGTGTCACAACTGGGTCTTGAAAAGACCAGTTACAGCAATGGCATTCGAAATGGGAAGTTCATAGGTGTCTGCCGTGTAGTAGTATCAGTACTACAGAGATTATAACTTCGTAGAAAGTGAAGAATACGACCCAGATACTTGGTGACTTTGACGTGGTTGTTCACATGTGCGAAACTGTCCTGATAAAAAGTATATATAGCCTCAGTAGATTGACTGCCAATCGACAATGGGCTTCGAGATTGTACGACATCATATTGCAGAAAGGATACATCCAGATGATACCTTTTCTTAGTTCGAATGTAATATCACCAAGTATCCAACGTTTAATCTTACCAGGTACAACCATTCACAGATCACTGGAGAGTAGCTACAGTCAACTTTTATCCCTGGGCTATATTCACAATGTAGTCAATCAATCGTATAGACGATTCCGTTAATCATCTTGATGGGACACACACACACACATAAATTCCATCGAAAGTTTCTAGAGTCACCTAACAAAAGAGAATTAGATCAGTGAATGGGTCACAAATAGTAATAATAATAATCACTTTATTCCAAACAATAATATTAATAATTATACAGAATGGAATTTTCCGCGTTGTTTTTATACATCCTGAAACAATTCACCTCCTTTTACATAAATATGTACATACATAAAGTTTAAAATAGTAATAATAATAATAATGAAACCACCACTATAAAGAGAATGTTGGTGGAAACATAATGAACTATAAGTGGATAGTAGCATAGATAATACATGTAATAATAATAATGATAATAATCTTTGCTTATACTTAGCCGTTCAGATTACTGATTTAAATTGTTTATAATTTCTTCTCTGACATTTGACTCTCGCTATTCACACACAACTACCCGGGCTAAATATGGTGGTATGGTAGAATTTCCATATTTTGTGGCTGTACGAGTGTGTATTCTCATGAAGTTTGTTCTAGTTTCACCTCCGAAGAGATTCACAGAGACAGCTGAGAATAAGCAGAGAGGATGTTCAGTATAAGACAAGATGCGTCGGTGGCACAGCGGTTAGGACTCTCGCCGACCATGCACATGGTCCGAGGTTCGATCCCCTGCCGGCGCACACCCGATATCTATGGTCGGCCTGAATTTGGGCTACCGATATCCATGCTGAAAATTCCATACTTGTACTGAAAATACGGTGTGGAATCAAGCTGTAAATAAAAATAAAAAAAATAAATAAATAAAATAAAGATAACTTTAGCCAACTGCCTGGAAGAATTGAAGTGCCTACTGACAATAATGTCAGTCATTTGAATCAAAGATAGCGCACCACTAACCCTCCTTACATTCTTCAGTGCTTTACGTAATATAACATAGTCTTTTTCGAGAAGTCCAAGAAAGAATAAGTGGGGCGAACAATAAAGAAGGTAAATGGGCAGAATACATGAATTAACGAATCGTTAGAGAAGAGGTTGAGTTATGGTACCAGTAGAAAGTCTCAACTTCATTATGTAATTAGTCAAACGAAAAATTTTTTGTGCTTAGAAATTAACAAGATGTGAGACAACCAACAGAGAGATTCGAAGAGAAACTGATGATGAGATAAGAGATATTCGATTTACTCCCTATCACAGTATTGCGAATATTACAGGAATCATTGGACTGAATCAGTCCACATAAGTCTTGTTCGCATCTGATACTAAAATCAACAATATGACATTTAGATAGATTCAGTTTAAAACAATTTAGCTGACACCACTTGTTAACTTCAGGTAAGAATCTTTTCATCGTATAAAAGCAATTCAATCCACCTTCTTTCCTTTTTATGCTACAATCTAACATTGGAAGTTCCCCTTCTTAACTTCCTAGTTTATAAGTAAATTGAATTGCCTCTACTTTCGAGTTGATGTATTCGAAAAATCAATTTATGTCCTGTATTCTAAGTACCGTCAATCTTCCATCTACATACCTACACCATACCTTAGGGGGGAGGGGGACTGAACGTCTCAATTACTAAATTTTCCGACCTGTCGGGGACATCGGTGACCAGACAGAATAGAAAGGGAACAATAAAAATCGATATTGTCTAGTTACAGATAACGATAGGATTATGAGCGACTAACCCCACTTACAAACGTTAGTGTTCTACGGATGATGGAGGACAGGAATTAATAAATTGTAAGAGAAGACGTTGAGTTATGCCAGCAAAAACTGTCAACTTCTTTATGTATTAATAAGCAGACGAAGATTTTCCCTAAAAATCAACATGATATGAGAAGACCAACAGAGAGATTCGAAGAGAAATTGATACCGAGATAGGAGATATTCGATTTACTCCCTATCACGCGATGATCTACAGTTATCTCGATCGATTTATGTATAGAAATTGGTTTGGCCTATAACTATGAGGAGGACTCCAATGAGGAATTGTGAGGTTTTCTTGCAACATATACAGGAAGGACGTTGCCCTAAGTAACTATTTTTTTTAACATTACATTAATTTTCTGTCAACACTTTTTCTTAATTATGCGGGTCTCCTTTGAACTTATCTGATTGGTTGATAGAAACGTGTCCAGGTATTTATTTTAGGTAGTTTCACATTTTAGATCGTTATTGTTTACAGTTACCGATACACTGAAATATGATCTGAATTTTCAACGTAGAGAATGTTGCACAAGATGTACTGCAACATTTCAGCCTTGCCACACATCAGGAAAGCACACACACACACGGTGGCAGCACAATGCGAGTACTTGAAAAT